TACATAATTAAATGATTAAAAAAATTATAGGTGTATTTTTCAATGATTTAATATATTTAGTAGAGTTTTACTAAAACTATAAAATATATTAACATTTATTGAACAAATTGTTTAATTATTGGTCATTTGGTCCACAATTGGTTTCCCAGATTGGAAAGTTAATCAGTTAATCAAGTCTAAAAATACATCTGTTTTCTGATGATTCATTAGGTCACGATGAAGGCAAAATGAAGAAACTGCGGAAAAACAAACAATTCTTTATCGAGTGAAAACAAGAAGGAGAAATGTTTAGTTATATATTAATTCTATTCTTTTGCGCCTTATCTGTGATCCTGAATGAGGATCCATCAAGTATGATGAAATCATACTTTGAATGAAGAGTTGAATTCATTTCATTTTTCTTTGAATCGTGTATTTAAAATTAAAATTAGACACACACTGCTTTCTATGTAGAGATGCAGTATAAAGACACTGAGGTAACTTCAAGGCACTTTGCGGCATAAAATATGAAAAACATGATCGATAAAACATTTCTTTTTCTTTTCGGTCAAGATGATAACTTTTAATTGCTTGTTTTTGTTCAACAAAGCCTGATTCAAGCACTTTGCAAAACCATGAACCCAGCTTGAACCATTAAATGTGGAAACATCAAAAACTTATTTTATGCCCTCTTGATGTTGCTGAGTGAGTGGAAACATTCTGAATGCTCTCCTTTGACATCCATGTGACGCATCCAGCAGATACACACTAACATTAGAACTCTTAATGATATTTGTGCTTAAAGTTTGTTCATTAAGGCCTTGTTTACTCTGTTTAGGATGGTGCATGTTTACAGCTGTTAATCAGTATAAATTTGTCATTTATGAGCCTTTGTGTGTACCTTTGTAATCACTGTATTTATTGTTTTTCAACATTAATGTTACCAGCAAAGATTTAAGGAGCTAAACCTTTAGGTTTTTTTATCATTGCAAAATCATCAACTGAAACAAGATGTTTTTATGAAGCTTAGTGGCACCTTTTCAAAACGTTTTTTTTTTTTTAAAGATGTGCTGCTTTAATCGTTTGTAATCAGAAGCATCTCTAAGCACACATCTAGTACCTTATCCACCCTCAATGGTTTCTATTGTAGAGACAAAGACAGACATGTTTCTGTGCCAGTTTTTCACTAACCTCATTTTAGAAAAATTAATAAAAACATAAGTTGCAAGAGAAAAAAAACAATCAGCCTGTCCCTTGTTTTGTATCCTTTTTCCTGCCTGTCAAAGTACCTTCAGCATATTTTCTGCAGACATGGACATGCTTGTATTCATACTATTATTTGGTCATATGTATCACACAATTTACGGTGCCATATATATCTGTTAAAATGATTTCATGTAAACATAGCAACGTGGGAATGTCATACCGTTCACAAAGAAAATGGGTTTTGTGTTCCAAAGATAAATCCGTTTGAGGTAAAAATGTGTGCATCAATCCCAGGACCAAAGTAAAAGACCATGAGAAGATACTAGCTGAAACTGGTAAGAAAGTGTCATTATCCACAGTGAAACCAGTCTTGGACAAAAAGGCCACTCAGCAGGAAAGAAGCCAAAAATCCCAAAACAAACATAAAAAGATAGATTACAGTTTACAAATGCATACAGTGATAAAAACCTTAATTTTGGGAGACCCCATCAGATCTGGTGATTTAAGTGAATTTGAACTTGGCATGGTTGTTGGTGCCAGGTGTGCTGGGTTTAGAAACTGGCGTTCTACTGGAATTTGAACACATCACAGTGAAGCGACAGTGGCACTAATCCAGTAATCGGTGGGTTGCCGGTTCTGCTCTGTCTGTCTCAGTCGTTGTGTCCTTGGGCAAGACACTTCACCCGCCTTGGGCAAGACCACCGCCTTGCCTGGTGATGGTGGTCAGAAGGCTTGGTGGTGCCGATTGTATTGCAGCTTCAGTTCTGTCAGTCTGCCCCAGGGCAGCTGTGACTAAAATGTAGCTCACCACTGTCAGTGTGTGAATGGGTGGGTGACTGATTGTAGTGTAAAGCGCTTTAGGGTCTCTGGGGACTTGATAAAGCACTATACAAGTGCAGGCCATTTAACATTTACCATCATCTCTTAGGTTTACAGAAAATTATCTGAAAAAGAGAGAGTATCCAGTAGCAACAAATGAATGAAAATGTCTTGTTAGTATCAAAGGTCAGAGGAGAATAGGCAGACTGATTTCACATGACACAAAGGCAACATTGGCTCAACTAATCACTTCCCACAACCAATTTGTGCAGAAAACCATCTCTGAATTCATAACAGGTCAAACCTTGAAAAAGATGGACTACAGCAGCAACAGAGGACCACACTGGGTGCCTCTACCATCAGCTAACAAAAGGAAATTGAGGTTACAGCTCGAAAAGGTTCAACCAAACTGACCATAACAAATTAAAAAACATTTCCTGGACCAATGTGTCTTGATTTCAGGTGATGCAATGATGTGGGGTATATACTTGGCCCACGTTGTTGCTTTTAGTACCAACTGAGCATTTTTTAAATGTCACAGCCTACCTGAGTATTGTTGGTCATTTCTTTATGACCACATTATACCCATCCTCTGATGGCTAATGCACCATGTCATAAAGCTCAAATCATCTTCAGCACATTTTATGGATATGGCAATGAGTTCACTGTACTTGTTTGGTTTTCTCATGGAAATTCTCATTATGGATGTGCTGTCGACAAATCTGCTGCAACTGTGTGATGGTTTTAGTTTAATATGGACCAAAATCTGTAAGGAATGCTTCCAACAGCTCATTGAATTTATGCCACAAAGACAGAAGGCAGTTCTGAAGGCTAATTTGGAGTCATTGCCATGCTGCAATGGGCTTATGGCTGAGGATAGCTGCTTTGAATAAACAGAGCAGTCTGAGGAAGAAAAGGCCAGAGGTCTTATGTTCGTTCTATGGACTGGAAGAAACCAATGTTGACTTTTCTTTTCTTACATTTTCTGTGGCACTCGTGCCTTTTATTTGAGAGGATTTGCAGACCAGAAAGGGGCGTAGGAAGAAGGGGAAGGCATGTAGTAAATAGCCTTAGCTGGAAATCAAACCCAGGATAGCTGGATAGAGGGTTATGCTCTGCACATGGGGCACCTACTCTACATTTCTACATTCTTATCAGGTTAGAGATTTAGACCCAATTTGCACTCTGAGAAAGAGATACAATTTTTAAAAACTACTACTTAGTAGGGAGAAGGTAGCACAAACTGAATAAAGTGTGTTACTTTTGTTTTATTGGAACAAAAAACAAAAATATATTTGGTGACATTCCAGGTAGTGGTCGTCTGCAGACTGAATACATAATAAACCCATTAGGTATTTTTAAAAAAGCTGATTCATCCAGCAAATGCCTGTAGTACTAGATGTTGGTAAAACATTTAGTACATTTATTGTTTTTATTTTCTCTTAGTGTATGCTTTTTGAGTAATTCCTGCACCAGATCACTAGCCTTGAACTTAGTCTTCCTTTCAAGTTCGGATTCCCTGTTGATGAGGTGTCAACCCCATGTCAATGATTTTCTGCCAGCAGTCACAATATTGATGCTAGAGCTGGTGTTACAGACAATTAAATAACACCCTAAAGCTGCTCTGCCCATATAATGTCAACAGCAGTACTAGTTTAGTATTGTCATGGGTGAGCTTGCAGAACCGATTAAAGGCCTAGATGCAGGAAGAGACAATACATTCATTCATCTGTTTTACTACATAAAATCACCCAGTTGCTGCAGAGTCATCTAATATTAATATACAAGGGCTTTTCCTCTTACAGTGAACACATAGGAGGTTTGTTTCACTGCTGGCATGAGATTTTAGGGTTATTATTGTCCCTTTTCATTTCATTCCAAAATAAATGTTTTGCCATGAAACATAATATGCTTCAAACATATTTCCACACGGTCTTGCTATATCAGCTCATTTGTTCCTTCCAGAAGGGATGCACCCCATACTAAATTACGTCAGAAAAATCAATAACTGTTTAGATATCTTCCATCTTATCCTTGTATATGAAATGTTTCTCATATACAAGTGTTTTTCTGATAGCACACGTGCTCATGCTTACGGGTGACGGCCGAAGAGGCCATGAACATCACAGGCAGCCCAATGGCGGAGGAGAGAATCCAGTTGCAGACGTTGACAATCTTAGCGTTTCGTGGTGTCCTGAAGTCCAACGCTTTGACAGGGTGGCACACGGCGATGTAGCGGTCAATGCTCATGGTGGTGAGAGTGAAGATGGAGGTGAACATGTTGTAGTAGTCTATGGACATCACCATTTTACACAGTATGTCCCCAAACGGCCAGGTGCCCATCAAGTAGTTGACGCTCTGGAAGGGAAGCGTGCTGGTGACCAAGGTGTCTGCCAGAGCCAGGTTAAAGATGTAGATGTTGGTGGCTGTCTTCATTTTAGTGTACCTAAAGATAAGGAACAGGTTTCACGATTAGTGAATCTGTAAAGTTCGAACATTTAAAGTACCCCAATATTCCTTCACAGTATGAACACATATTAGTCGTCCTTTATCTTTTTATCTATAACTGTATTTTACTCCTTACGGATGGAAAATGGATTATATTGTGACCACGATCATCTGAAGATTGTGACTTCACTGACTTCTGTACCTTTAGCCTTAGTAAAAAATCTGTCTTAGATCTTACAAGCTTAACAAATAAGTAGGGACTAGGCCGTTTCATTATACTAGACTCATTGTACCTGAGCGTTCTCAAGTTTCCAGTACTAAAAAAAAGCCGTTGATATTCTAATAGAGTAAAGCGCAATGAGTAAATGTAGGCCTCTATGAAAAGTGTTAAAACATACCTGCAAGAGTCTGTCACAGGATAGACTAATTTCCAACAGCTCATGTATTAATGCAGAATTATGACGAAACAACCACTGAAGTTAAAGCGGATGTCTTAAGCATTGGTAAACCTGCATCAATCAAACATGTTGGGTAAGAGAAAACTGGAACGCCAAACGTGGGACTCAAACCCACGACCCTGAGATTAAGAGTCTCATGCTCTACTGACCGAGCTAGTCAGGCTGCAAACCTGAGTTGTTAGAGTATACTGATTCAGAAGATGATGCGATAGATAGATTAGATAGATAGATAGATAGATAGATAGATAGATAGATAGATAGATAGATAGATGAGTATTGTGCCACAGACCATTTACTGCCCTCACAATTTATGAGAGTTGCCACTGAAAAATGCAGTAATCTGAGGGTCATGTAGTTATTCCTACTTTTTCAAATGCACTAGCAATTTTCCCGTTACTTTTCCCTGGGGGGGGGTGAACTTCTTTCTGATTACTCTAACAATCCTAAGAAAATCTACATCCAATTTGTTGTTTAACCCAGTGTCCTCAATTGAAGTTTTTTTTTTCTTGTAACTGTACTAACCAGAAATGAAAAACTTTCTAAAAAATTATATCAGACCAAAAACAACCTCAACCATGTGTTGCTGGGATCAGTTTGCCATGTACTTGTTGAAAGCGGAATAAAACTAGTTGCTCTGTGAATTCAAACAAAATTCTCTAAGTACAGAAAGAGAAACTCTTAATCTGTGTACCATTAGATGTCTTTAAAATGCCTCATTGGTTAAAGATGGGCTGAAGTACACATATTAATAGGGTTTACCATATCAGGAGTGGGCTTTGAACCCACACCTCCTTTCAAAGACCAGAAACCTCTGAAGCGAGTAACGAATAAAGCCTTGAGTCTGGCACCTTTGACCGCTTGGCCATCCTGACATGCATGACCAAAAGCTTAACAAGTATGTAGGGACTAGACCGTTTCATTATACCACATTCATTGTACCTGAGCATTCTCAAGTCTGAAGTACTAAAAAAAAGCCGTTGGCATTCTAATAGAGTAAAGCGCAATGAGTAAATGTAGGCCTCTATGAAAAGTGTTAAAACATACCTGCAAGAGTCTGTCACAGGATAGACTAATTTCCAACAGCTCATGTATTAATGCAGAATTATGTCGAGACAACCACTGAAGTTAAAGCGGATGTCTTAAGCATTGGTAAACCTACATCAATCAAACATGTTGGGTAAGAGAAAACTGGAACGCCAAACGTGGGGCTCGAGCCCATGACCCTGAGATTAAGAGTCTCATACTCTAACATTTCAGGTTTGCAGCCCAGCTAGCTCAGCCGGTAGAGTATACTGATCGAGAAGATGTTTAGATAGATAGCTAGATAAATAACAACCTTTAAGCAGGTGTTAGACATACTTTTCATTAAGCCCACATTACTGTACTTAATTGAGGTACTGAATAATAATACTAACACCAACTATTTTAAATAATGGCAACGCATTTGAGTTGCTCTGAACCACATTGCCTGATTTGGTGGACTAACTGTACGATAAAACGTTGCTTAATTCAATTAATTAATAGATGTTCCTAGAATACTTAAAAAAGTGGTATATTAATAAAAAAAATGTTTCAGTTACACTCATTTGAAGAGATTTTGTTAGAAAATAAACGTGGTACTGGTGATTCTACAAATAAAGAAATAACTTAGATTTAACTTTTCAACAATAGGATGTTCTAAATAGTTAGATTTTTCAGTCTGAGATTGTGATAATGCAATAAAATCTGAAATTATTTGAAGTCCTGTTATAAATCTTTACAAAGAATGTGAATAAATGTGGGGAATATTATGGTTGTGATTCTAGATAAGTTCCAGTACTGTATGAATAAACTGGAATGTACTGTGAATAATTCAGATGTTTTAGATCAAACAGAAGTCGTTAATGGCTCCATTCAATGTGCTCCTCAGACTCTTCAGCCCTTTTTAAAGCATGACAGAGAAATGCATTCCCCCAGACTACTTAGAAGGGATTATGTACAAATTTCAGTGCATCTCTTATTAGCATAAATGTTTGAAATGTAAACCAACACTAATTCTTAGACATGTTTTTTTACAGGCTGTATATTTTATACTATTACATTTATAGTTTAGACATGGCTTCTGACACAAATGGAAACATTTATGCAACATTTAGGAGTGGATAAATACACATTTTCAGAAGAACCAGAAGAAATGAATAAGAGGTTGTGTTGAAAGGCCCAGTTTACTTTCTCCTGAGTTGCCAGAAAGGACAAAGAAGACAGCACTCATTGACAAATGCATTTTAAAAAAAACATTCTACTGGATTTAACTAAAATGTTCCTTCAGTCAATAACGTTAAAACTTGGAGCAAGAAAAAAGGGAATGAAAAGGACCTATGAAATGATGAAGTGATGAAGTAAAAAAAAACAAAAGAGACTATGTGCATCCATTAGCTCAGAGAGAGGATAAAACACAGGCAGCAAGGGCTCAACTGTTTAGACTGCTTGTCAGAAAAGATGTATATGATGTTTATCGTTTAATAGCTTTAGGCGGGAAGACACGCACAAAGAAATTAGCCATTACCCACACCCCACTCACCCCACTGAAATATTAAAAACAGTTGAGACTGACAGATTTGGAGTTGGGCTTGGGGATTGTTAAAAAATTTAAATTGAATAAAATATGCTTTCTTAGATGGGAAAAATAAGGTTTGAAAAGTTCAAGTTCACTCAGCTTGAGACCTTTGAATGTTTGATGAGGGATGTATGGCATTTATTCAAGCTCTATTTGCTCTACAATTTGAAAATTAATATTCTTATTTTAAAGGTGATGGAGTTTTCTTTTAATTCTCTGCTTGTATAGATCCTAAAAGGCAGGTTTAGCGTGTCTTGCCCATGCATTAATGTCTCCTGAGCTTTTTCACTTTTTGTGAATTTACAACCTATAATTTCAATGTATTTATTTATGTAGACCAACACATAGTAGTGCAAAATTGGAGGAACAAAAAATTATATGTTCCTTTCAAAAATTGTTTTTAGAAATAAAAATGTAAAAACTATGGCCTGTGTGAATACTTTGCTGAACCACCTTTCATTGTAATTACAGCTGCAAATGTTTTTTGGGGTATGCTTCTTCCAGGTTAGCACATCTAGAAACTGTGACTTCTTCCAGTTCTTCTTTGATAATAGCTTTAGCTCAGTCAGACTGGATGGAGAGCATTTGAGAACAACCATTTTGAAATAGAATTAGGTCTGGTAGTTGGATTTGAACACATGAGCTCAGGTTTTATGTTTAGGTTTGTTGTCTTGCTGGAAAGTGAGCCTCCACTTCAGGTTCGAGTCTTTAATAACAGGATTACTTCCAGGTTTGCCCTATATCTCTATACACATTCCAATGAATTCTGATCAGTTTTCCTGTACCTGCTGAAGAAAAGCATCCCCGCAGCATAATACTGCCACCTCCATGTTTCACAGTAGGAATGATGTGCTCAGGGTGATTTCTAGTGTTAGTTTTCGGCCAAACAATGCCATCATGTAGGCGAAAATGTTTCATTTTGATCTCATCTGACCAGAGTAATTAGTTGCATAGGAGTCATAACTGCACAACAGTTAACTGATTTCTACTTGTAAAAAAAACTTTAAAAACAATGTTTTCTTTTCCCTCCATTTCATTAATGTGCTACTGTCACATCAAACTCAGTAAAACAGACTGATATTTGTGGATGTAGCACAATAAAATGGGAAAACTTTAATGTGAACGTTTTTGCAAGAAACTGTAAAGGCCTCTTGATAAAATAAAAGATGTTTTATTATTTTTAATTTTTTTATGAACTAGCCACTTCTCATTTATAGACAGGGAATATTGCGGCTTTGTTGCATGAACTGTAGTTACCACAAATGTAATAAATTGAAGGATGAATAACAAAAACAAAAAAGGAAAGAAGATATTTTTTAACCTGATTTATTTTATAGTACTATAGTATAGATTATTTTTCTATTTCAATACTGTGGCACCTGTTACTGCTGAACTCTCTATGACAATGAGGCTGAAATTTTAAATACTAGAAGAATATGAGATGTTTATTTTTTTTTCTTTGGAACACACATCTTCACTGTGTTTCTTTGACACTAAGTGTTTTTGTTTGGCTTTCATTTTTAATGCCAAAGAGTATAGACCAAGCATTGTTACTTTGAACTTATGATTCCAAACACTATTCAAAGCGTTAAGGATGAGGTGGTGGAGAACCTTAAAGCAGAGTTAAAGGCAGATTAATGGTGGATATATTTTATTCACCAAACTAAAGATAAAGTTGCTCCAATGGCAGACTAAAGAACAAACAAACTAAAGACAAAGATGTTTACTGGGAGACAACTGAGCCCTACAACAGTCTACAGTGCTGCGAAAAGTATTTGCCCACTTGAAGATTTTTTTTCTCTTTTTGCTTTTTTTTTATTTAAATGTTTGAGATCATCTAATCTAATATCAGACAAAGATAACCTAAATATATACAACAAGCAACTTTTCAAATGATGACTTAATCACTGTGGGGAAACAAAAAAGTCTGGTTATAAGTTACTCGTACTCGTACTCGTCGTCTTCCGCTTATCCGGGACCGGGTTGCGGGGGCAGCAGACTCAGCAGAGACACCCAGACGTCCCTCTCTCCAGACACCTCCTCCAGCTCCTCCGGAGGGAGCCCAAGGCGTTCCCAGGCCAGCCGAGAGACATAGTCCCTCCAGCGTGTCCTGGGCCGTCCCCTGGGCCTCCTCCCGGTGGGACGTGCCTGGAACACCTCCCGAGGAA